GATACGCAGAGCTGCGATATTAATTCGCCGCGAATCGCAGGGAAGTTCCTCATCCGAAATCCGCATGACTGTTCCAGGCGGATTTACAGAATCGTTCGTCGCGACATAATCACGTGCGTCGCACGAACAGCGACCTAGGGGGGCAGAGGTTGCTCCAATGGGACACGAGGTCAGGATACGTTCACAATTATCGTAGGATGCTGTCAACTCCATCGCCGATCAAGACGAGACCGCCCAGGCTCAGCCCGAGGCACTCCTCCCATGATATCGTTACGCTCAGAAGGTGCGTTTAATCATCACAATCGCGCCTCGTGTTCAAGCAACCCTTATCGCGTACGCCTCATTAAATCATCGCCATTTGCGAATCACGTCGGCTCTTCGCGAAGGCTGGAGAAACCCAGGCAACCGTTGCGTTTGGATCTTTGAATTGATAGGGATACAATTGTGTTAGAGGAGCCTTGCTTGAAAATCTTTAACGAGAGGAAAATATGTATAAATACAAAAGACTTAGAAAGTTATAAAACCATCGAATATTCAAATAATGTTCAGTAATGAAAACGTAGTTTGAGTAAGAGTAAACCCCATTAAAAAAGCTTTAACGATCTTCCTTATTATTCTCGAAGCGACTTTTCTTAATGTATTCCTATCTAAAAGATTTTCTGAACGGGACTTTAATTGAAAAAGGTTTTCTTTTCCGTAATATTATCTTGTAATGTTATTATCGTAGAATTTTCATTATAATTCCTTCAAATATTTATTGAAGTTTTTTAAAATATTTATGAATATCTTACGTATAAAATTGCCCTATTTGATAAATACGCGATTTTACAGTAACAAGATTGAGATGCTATTCTATCTAAAAAATTACAAAATTTTCTGAATGGAATTATAATTGAAAGAGGTTTTTCTTCTTTGTAATAATACTTTTATAATATTCTTTCTTTGTAATATTATCTTAACTTTATCATTCTTTTATTATAATTTCTTTAAATACCTCAAACCGAAGACTTTATTGATGAATGTTTTGTTTTACGCGTAAAATTGTCACGTCCGACAGATGCGTACGGTTTAATCGTGAGAGTTGTACGTTGAAGGTCCAAGCAACGTTTACTTGGGTTTCCGGAATCGAGGCGAGCATAATCTTTCACACTCTGCGAGTGTGAAAAGCTAGCAGTGTCGAGGAGGCGTTAAAAGAAAAGAGAAACATGCGAAACAAAAAGACATATCGAACGCTTGTTAATTCCGCTCTTCTTAGCCGCACGGCCGTACCTACTGTAGCCTGACGCGCTCGCTCGCTCGCTGCTTCTTTATTTTCGAATCAATATAACAATTCTGACTTCCTCTCACAAAACGTAACACTAATATCGCGTATCCCACATCTCGAATCAACAAAACCCCCGAAAAACAAAGTGACAACTTGGGAAAACTTAAAATTCTTTGTTCTCGAACCTTTCCAGTAAATCGAGGGAGACCAGTGGTAGGTAGACGGGTATTATAACAAACCACCTTCTTTTAATCTTTCCTCCAGTAAAAAGTTGATCTGTGCCACGCGTAACATACGTATATATACATATGTATATATACATACCTCTTGTCGTGTGTTGTACTCTATATACATATATCTATATACATATTATACCTACCTATACTGTAATCTGTTGCTGAATGTTGTACCGATATGCTTAATACCTGAGTACACGCTTTTGTCGAACCCTTCGCTCGATACGCCGCACGTTAACGCGGTAACAGATACGAATTAATGTTGAATTAACGATTTCTCTCTTTTTTTTCTCGCGCTCTCTTTAGTAACGCGAAAGGGAGGAGTTCTCGGACAAATTTGAGGCGGTCGCTTAGCCAGCCACTGGGAATCAATCAGCTCTCACCGCTGATGCGCGCCAAAACCGCAGGTAAGCACCGTCATCGGTATTTGCTCTGATGCCTCTTAATTTAAGATAGACTTCGAGCTCTCTGACGTAGATCACGTTCCTCTCGTCTTGTCTATCAAGCACGCGCGTGGACCATTCTCTTATCGCGCCTGTGAAACGCGAGGCCGCACGTCTCTTCTCGAATCATTACTGATTGAGAAGAGTTATCATATCACTCGAGTTAATCTTACAATAGATTATTCTGAATTATTAAAAGATACGTTATACAATTTAATTAACGTAATATTTATAAATAATATTTAAAAAATTGAGATGGAAAGAGAAACGCGAAAGAACGATACAGAAAACAAAATTCTTTTTACATCATTTTTTTTTCAAGTATATACTCGAGATAGATGTTTTCGTGCGGTAACTGGAATCGTTGGAGAGACATGGATTCATGTCAGAACGCGTTTGCTGGGTAGATAGAGTTTACACGCCAGTAGAAAAACCCTCGATGATATCTAGTGCACCGTATATCACAGAGACCGCCAGTTTCTCTCTAGACATCACCACGAAGAGTATTCAGCATGCATTCCTCGTAAAGACATTGTTGAGACATTCACCCACATCGTGTTGCCATCGAATGCACCCTCTTAAGAAAGAGAAAGAAAAAACGAGGGAGGATAATTGCGCGAGAGTAAGGAATGGGACATCCCTGTGTAATAATCGTCATGCTCCGTCTCTCATCCCTGTAAAAACGTTGCTTCGTGTGGAAACGCTTCTGTTTTGCGATGATAGTAAGGAGCCTGGCTTGCCGGAGAAGCTCTCGTAAAAGCGCTCTCTCTCGCACTTCTCGTCTCTCCTTCCCGCGCGAGAGAAAGAGACGCGACTTCCCGAGGGTGCGATCAATTCGCACGTATGCGGGTTAACTGAATACCGAGAGGGAGAGATACTCCGGCGGGCTTGGTTACCTTCTCTCGAGGAATCTCATGAAAATTACTGTTTCATTCTTTTTCCGCTCACGCCGAGAGCTGCACGGTGGACGGTTTTTGGCCCGGGGGCTGAGACGTACTTGTTGTCCCAATAACTTCCAGAGGGATTCCTCCGACGAGCGTAAACGGAGCGAAATGTCGTTTACGTTGTGGGACGCTTTGTGGGAATCGAGTGTTTGTCGATTGTTTTGCCCAGACGAAACATTTGTATTAAAGATTAAGGAATTAAATGAACAGACATTTCTTTAAGAAAGGCGATTTTATATATGTATTCTTTTCTTATATTTTTAATATCCTCTCTGTAATTTTGCAGAGAATGGAATTTGAAATGTACCTCTATCGAAAAGATAACAGTATTATACATGCTGATTAATTTCTATTTATCTTTTCACTTGCGTTTTGTTTAAAATTTAAATCAATGGGCGATTTAAATCTGTGTAAGGGTATGTGTTCTCCATATCCCTTTTTTTATCTTTATTACAATAAAATTCTATTCCCGAAAAAAGTAGGCGCAAGATTACCCGGTGGCAACGTGCTATCAGAGGACGAGCAGGATGGAAGAGCCGGAACATCGGAAGACGACGAGATGATGTCCGATTCCGAATCTTCGATCACTTCTTTGACGGATAAGAAGAAATCGTTTGAGCAGACGATGGATGAAGAAATCGTCATGTTGGCCGAGGCTGTTTGGGATCATGTGGCGATGGAGCCGGAGGAGCTGGCTTTTCGCGCCGGGGATGTCATCGACGTCCTCGATACACTGGACAGGGATTGGTGGTGGGGCAGCTGCAGAGGAGAGCACGGATGGTTTCCGGCCGCTTTTGTCAGGGTAAATGTCCTTGAACGGGTCCATATATATTAAAATAAATTACACTTTTAGCCCTAGAATGACCTTAAGTAATAACATCATAATTATTTATTTAAGCAACACAATATGAATATAAAACGATAATTATAACAAAACAAAGTTAATTTGTAATTATCATAATTATCGAATTTAGTTATATGGTTCAATTAAGTTAAACTTAGATATAATAAACTCGGTTAAAATAAATTTGTTTATAGTTGCGCGTGAGCCAAGAAGATACGGTGGAGGATTGTCTGGCCGCGATGGCCTCGGGAGGATCCTCGGGTACTCAACTTAGAAGGCGGACGAGCGTCTCCCTGCTCTCGAACGAGCAAGTGAGGACCAGCGTGGTCCGCGAGCTCGTCCAGACCGAGCGCGACTTCGTCAAGGTCCTACGCGACGTGGCCGAGGGTTACATCGCGGAATGCCGCAGGCGCACGGACATGTTTACCGAGGAGCAGATCGAGACGATCTTCATCAACCTCGAGGAACTTCTAGACTTTCAGTCTGAATTCCTGAAGGATCTCGAGGACCGCATCGACTGGAACGCGCCATACAAAAGCTGCATCGGCGAATGCTTCCTCAATCATGTTAGTGGCATTATCAAAATATCGCGCTTTCTTCTTCGTTGAAAATTCCATGCATCCGAGTGATAAATTGATCGATTTGTCTCTATATTTCTTCATTATCTTAACTTTCTTGGACTATATTAAAAGTTGGAAAGAAGTTAGAGAGAAAGAACTCTGTCTATGTCTATGTTTGGATAAAGTTAAAGAAAAAGAAGACGAAAGACGTATTATTGATTCTTTCAGAGGGCGGGTTTTCGAATGTATTCCGAGTACTGTAACAGTCACCCAATGGCCACGGCGACGCTGCAGGAGCTCTACCATCACAATCGTTATAGCAAATTTTTCGAGGCCTGTCGACTGATGAGGGGTCTCATCGAGATCCCCTTGGACGGCTATTTATTGACGCCCATCCAACGAATATGCAAATATCCCCTTCAATTGGCAGAGTTACTGAAATATACGAAGACCGATCATCCGGATTATCACAAGATCCAAGAGGCCTTGGAAGCGATGAGAGACGTCGCGGTATTGATCAATGAGAGAAAAAGGCGGATGGAAAGTTTGGAGAAATTGGCCGCATGGCAAATGCGCGTAGAAGGTTGGGAGGTACGAGCTTTTTGTAGTTGTGATAAAAACTGTTTTTAAAATTTGCATTTTGAATCCTCTTGATAATACTGATTACCTTCATAGTGCGAGCTTTATCTAAAATAATTGTCTCGAAATACGTTTAATATCGACGGCAATCGGTCGCAGGGTGAGGATCTCATAGAAGTTTCGTCGCAACTTATTTATCAAGGTGATGCGATGAGAGTGAAGACTGGCATGTGGACGAATAACATCACATTATTTCTCTTCGATCATCAACTGGTCTACTGCAAGAAGGACATTCTCAAGCGCGACACCTACGTCTACAAAGGTCGCATCTATCTCGACACCAGCGAGGTCATTGATGTGCCTGACGGAAAAGGTAACGAATGTTGTTAATAGGATTTCTCGATAAATTTAAATTGTTAGGATATCTCTTACATCTCTTATGACAACAGCGTAATAACTCTGTAATTGGTTAATTTTATTATTTTATATAATTTTTTTATTTTATAAAATTCTATTTTGCGTATTACTGCGTTATTACAGTAAGAGACGTTATTAAATAATTAAGATAGAATCGGTAGGGTACGATATAAAATATCGACCACGCCTTATAATAAAGATATATCAAGCTAATGATCAATTTTACCCGTAGACCTTCAATCAGGGGTGACAGTGAGGCATTGCCTAAAGGTATACAGCTGCGTCCGGGACAAATGGTTGCTTTTCTGTTGCCGCACAGCGGAGGAGAAACGGCGGTGGCTAGCGGCGATGGCCGAGGAACGAAGGCTAGTGGCTAAAGACAGAAACGACGGATTGGAGTTTCCAGCAGCAGCTAGGCAGCTCGCCAGGCTTGCCGCTAACAGACAGCAGAACAGACCACCGATCAAACCTCGCAGTAAGTATTTGCCACTATGATGTCTGTACTAATTTAATAAAATTAGATTTGTTCGAAAAAAAACCGCTATTTTAATTTTATTTCATTTTCTCTCTAAAATATTTTTTTGCTATAAAATACCTTACTTGTTTATTTTGTATTAATTTATTATATTGACCGATTTAATTTATTTGACTTACTCGATATATCAGTCTATTTTTATCTTGTATTAATTTAACGATGTTGCAGACAAAGCATATAAGAGGGAATCGGCGTACGAGATGCCAACGACAATGGTCGGTCAAGGCACCACGAATTCGCTGGGACGGAAGGTTGGGACCTGGTTCATGTTTGGTAGCAGCAAGAAAAGCACGCGGCTTCAACCGTCCTGAGACAGGCCCACCTTCGTACCGTATATTGACCTATAAAGCTGCGGCTAACGACGCTGCATCGTCCTGTCGAAATCCTGGCGCGAGATACCCCGATCTTGGTCGCTTCGAAACTTAGGAGCCTTTGCGAGCAGGCATTTGAATTCCAGTCAGGGTAATACTGTTTATTGTATGTGACTGGTCGTGGAAATTATTCTCTAAGCATCGATGAACGAGCCACTATGATTTCGCTAGGATTTCGTAGCACCGAGGATGAACAGCGCGCCTCGTCATATGTACGGCACGAAGGTGTTTAGATAATTCATAAGTAGATTTTGTCCGACGAAGTATACCTCTTCTTCTAAGGCAGGGAAAGTAATCGCTATCGATTTTGTCGACCGATTTTGATCATTGTCCATGAACAGCGATCCGCAAAATAGAAGAAACTTCCAATGATTTTTCACTCACTGCCTCTCTCACAGAAAGCAGACGTTTCTCTCTATCAAGCAGATATCATCGTCCACTTTAGATACTTGCAGACAAAAGTCGCTCATTATGCCTAACCAGGATTTTGTGAGTCTTCGAATCGGTGCTTGCCTAACTCTTAGATCTTAAAGCAATGTTCGATCATCTTCAACGTGACGTTACGATGGTGCCCAGTCTGAGAAGCACCGTCCAAAGAAAGAACGTTTCGGAGAAGAAAAATATTTGTTATGAGCTGAGAGAGGTGTATAATCGCTCTTGTAGATATTTGGCGTTAAAAATTACCGTTAATAATAGCGGACACGAGAGTAGATTAGGGAAGTAGAGACATTTAGAGAAGTAGATAGTCTATAAATGTATAAAGTCAATAGCGGGCTTCTGAAGTACTAAAGGGAAAGTACTAGTCATTCGTCATCGCGAATTCTTGATGAACGCCGATGAAACATGATATATATATGATATATTGTTACACGCGCAATCGCTTTTTGGATCGAAAAGCTGGCATGGTACGTCACACGGCTGTATTTTTTATGATAATCGAAAGACTGACAACTGAGATGCTTCCTCGGGAGGAAACCTTGAGGTTGTAATCTTGAGAGAGAAATGCGACGGGATCGATTAGGAAATATATCTGAATTGAATTCGTTAAACGAGCTTCGCCTTTCGTCTAGATTATTTGATCGTTATTTCGAAAATTATTTTGTCGACCAATTTTACGTACAACGAGAACTAATAGCACGTACACAGTTCTACGCAAGCGTCAACAAGTTCGATCACAAAAATCTACATGTTGATTGATTTCGCGAGGAAATTCTGATCGGCCGATTCCGCACACCACTTTTCTCTCAACGAAAATGTAGATGTATTTCGTAGAGAAAATCTCCAGCGAGCTATACAAGGTAACTCTTACTGCCTAACTAATGTTCGTTATTTCGCATCGTAATCATAATATTTGTAGTAGTTTGTACGAAGTTGCGGACGACGGGAAGACAAGAAGACGAGAGGCTGAAACGCGAGGGCGAAGGAGAGAAAAAAAAATGTTTATGTTTACGCGAAACAACGCAGTAGCATACAGAGGAAAAGAGGTGATTAAAAAAGATATGTAAATATTCGCATATCATGTCTCCTTACCCGACTGCGATGTGAATCGCCAAGCTTTTAAAAAGAAAAAAAAAGATGGAAAAAGGAAGAAAAAGGAAAAGGGAGAAGATCGCGAGAATCTCTCTCAAGTTTTTCTACTCTTGTACAGAAAGATGTATGAAGACTTAGCAACGAGAAAATAATATCTGTCAGCAGAAGAACCTCTGTGTTAATAATATGTGCATATTATCTATGCGGTCCCTTGACAAAATGTTCGATCTTGCAGTTTTAATGACTTAATCACAGATCCTGAAAGTTTTCAACACTGCCAATAAGTTAAAAGAAATAAGTCTTCGTTCGTTAGAATTGTTTGGTTCGGTCTTTAATAGAAAAAAGAGATCGGTATAATTTCGATTCTCTTTCTCTCTTTTTCTCTCTCTCTCTCTTATATACAGTATATATACGAGGGACAAACGCGACTATTCTGTCTTTTTGACATTTATGTCTAAAGGGGTGTAACACACGAGTATGAGCGAGGCGGTATTTACGTTTTTGTATAATACATAGAAAGGTATATTTTTACTTATTTCCCGACAACGTAATTTACTATATATGACGAGGACAATATAATGATAAAAGAATGGATCAAGATTCCTACTGTACAGAGAGATCATTAGCCTGTTGATGTTTAGACTTAGGAGAGGCGCAAATTTGTTGCTGGACCCAACTCATTTCAGAGTTATTTTTATAGGAGAAATGACTCATTGATTGGAATGTGATTTTTTTTATAAGTATCGCTATTATACATGGACTGCTTTAATGGCCAACGTAAGTATAAAGAAGAGTAACTTGTTAATGATAAGATTGATAAGTAGCGAGGGAGATCCCGAGCAACACGGAAGTCTAAAAGATATCCTTCGGAGAAACGTCTTCTACAAGTTTTACAGGCGTCTCTTGACGACACTCGTGTTGTCTGCGGGACACAATATTGTGTAATCCACAAGTAAGCACAACTTTTCACGAACAATTCATGAAACTGCACTTGCAACTCTCACGACGGAGAAGTAATCGAAATCCGTGAAAATTCGTATCTCGCATTCACGAGCTCTCATGCATTGGCAGATGAATTACATATCTGACGCACTGATTACTTTTTTACCTCGGAAAATACTACCCTCTCCCCTTTCTTCTTTTCGGAAACCGTTATTCTTTCAGAAACCGTCAAGCAAGATCTGCACAAAACTCGAGGAAATGCGCTTCAAAGCAATAAATCTTAAACTAAGCGTTATTGTTATGATAATTTAGGCTATTACGTACATATATAACGCATTTAAAAACGCGATTATATTTTCCCTGACAATGAGATTTGATATCGATAACCGTGTGCGTACATACTGATGATGAACTAAGCAGAGCTCTTTTTCCGTAGCGAGATCGCGCTACGCGCTAACGATGCAAGAGGAAAAGCAGCAGAGATAACGCATGATATCGCAATGTTTTCTGTACATATATAGACGTGTTTTGTAAGTGTAAATACCGTAGACCTACTCTCTCGTTAGAGAAAATAACTTCAACACGTTTTGTAGCGACTAAGTGAAACATACTGTTAAGCTATATATCTGACGTTCATATAGTTGATTACTAATTAAACGGTGATATCATTTTGTATATTTGTATATCTCTTTAATTTAATCATCTTGAGGATTATTTGTCATTGCGAGATCGATTGTTCGTATTATAATTATTGTTTACGACATGTACAATAGAATGTTATACAATATGATTGTCATTGTTTCCAAATACAAGCACATACATATATATCTATATTTCTATATATATATATATGTATATGCTGAGTTACATATATGTAAATAAACATTTTATAACTATTATACTTTGTTCATGTGTTCTTATTTCATTTTTTCGTAAAGATATATGTCTATAAACGTTTATATAGCAGTAACACAAGGCAATGAACACTGAATTATGTTAATCCTTAAGCTTAGACAAAAATTTAAGTAAGATTTAAGGAATTACAGTCACATCATCCTGTTTTGAAATTTGGGCTTTTAATTTTGAATTTTCGTCTTTCAATTGATTTACGACTTGTCGAAGATTCTTGACTTCTTCCATCAACTGTGCGCTTTCATCCAAGCTTTGGGCTAGTTTTTCCGGAGCCTCTCTTAATTCCGTAATGTACTCATAAGCTCGCGCTAGTATACCTCCTTTACTCTATAAATAAATTAGTACTAGCATTAACAAATAATACAAGTTATATGTTTTTATAATATAAAATAAAGAATTTATCAATTTATTTGTAAATTATTATCAAAAGACAAATATCGATTTAAGAATTTGCAAATGTCGTACTTGCGGTTCCAAATTGGATTTTACATCTCCGTCTTTATTCACATTCTCCGAATCACATTCGGCCAAGAGATTTGCCAACTTAGAAATCCAGTTGCTAATTTTGTCCCTTCTACGTCTTTCAACTTCATTGTGCGTTACTCTTCGTCTCTCGTCCCTCTAAACATATAATTTTCATTTTCCTAAATGAAAAATCAACGATAACGTAAAGTGCATCGATAATATCGAATGACTTTTACCTTCTTCACGGTGGTTACGATATTCTGTGATCCTTCTATCTGCAATTTAGCTACGCTAGGAACCACTCTAGCAGATTCTGATGTTACAACGTCATTGCCATTACTGAGCACGTATAATTGTCCGTTCAGCGGCGAAGTCAAAACCTGGACAGTATTATTCACAGGCGTGGCTATCGAAAGCTCATTGTCCTCTCTGTCATTGTTGCTGACATGCATAACTTTGTAGGCCACTGTATTGTCATCTCTGTTTACTGCGTACAAGTGGTACTGTATGTTGTCATCGTCAGCTTCTACATCAGCATCGCAGTCCACTTCTTCCAGAACCACACCAACAGCCTCATCGTTCACTATATTCTCATCTGTGCTATAACACGAGCGTGGTTTTGTTGTCGAGAAAAGAAATGCACTTACAACACAAATGATAAACACAAGGCATTTCTGCAAAAAAAAAAATACTCATACCTTTCGTCAATAGGTTCAAACTGATTGACCTCCATTTCAATAAGCGGCAAATGCTTTTGCGATCATTAATTTGATGTATAAATAACGACGCGTTGGTGCATCAATAGTAATTATACTGACGAGATAACATTGAAAGCATGCAAGCCGGTATTGGAACGCTAACCTTTCTGGCCTGTTGACGCCTGGCATTCGTATTCTACTGTAGCGCTCTTCAGAAGTTCGAGAACTCACTTTGTGAAAAGAATTTTGCGCGACCGGTACAATCGTGAGAGCGCCGCTTCGGTATCTCTCTGGCCGCGCAATAAAGTATGACATTTGTTTTTCGTAAAAGAACCTTTTGTATTTCTCGTCTTTCCTCTTCTTTTTCCTAACGTTTAATTTATTAATTTTTTCACTCACCCAATTCAATGTACAGCTGACCATTTAAACGCATCCTTACATTGCAAGGATGCAATTTTATATATTTCATATGTCATATTTCATATTTCACATGTCATTCACATGAAATATGAAATAATTTATTTCATATAATCATATATTATTCATATATGAAATAAAAGAAATAAAAGTTACAATTTGACATTCAATAAATATATATATATTCATTGCTATAGATAATTTTTAACATATATCAGGGGGGACACGTGTATGCAAATAATATCATATATAATTATAAATAATGAAATAATCACGTTATATTAATTATTGACTACAATGCTTCTAAAGCTTTTTGATCGTTACGAAGTTAAGTCTCTCGATTTTTTAAAAGAACCTCAACAAATATATGTATATACACATATAATTATACAAAAACATATATATTAACACAATTAACTTTCTTTTATATGAGTAATACTATTGTTTCTTTATCGTATAAATCTTTATCTTTATCTTTTATGAATCTTCACGCATTAAATTCGTAACGTGACAAAGCAAAATATGCGATACATGACTGAAATTAAGATTGGGAGCAGTAATCATGTGTCATAAAATTTTTTATAACGCTGACAATATGACATCTGTCTTTTTACGTATAACATTTTTTCGATTACAGATCGTATCTCATGACAGATAGACGTATATTGCACGTGAGGTAGTTGTGTTAGTTCCTCTTAACGCATTTACAATTTCTGGTACGTAGGTAAAAACGGCACGTGTGATGTCCATTTCCACCTGAAGAATTAATTTATAAATATAATTAACCATCATTCGTACAAACGTACAGATAAAAAAAACTCTGCTATATATTAATACCTTCTCAGCAGATTCATTCCGCATGGGAAGTCGAAAGTGTTCCGGACGTACTCAACGCCAGATGCTTCGTCAGTTTTTTTGTCAGTCACATCACTGGTCAGTTCCATTTCCTTCGACCAAGCCTCCAATCCACGGTCTCTCGCGTTACCTTAATTTTAAACAAATAAATCAATAAATACATATATCCTGTCATTATTGTCTCTATCAACAATACCTGGGATGATGTTGTCCAGTAAACAGCCTAACAAACCACCTACTAGAATAGTAGTGCTAAGTAATACGGTGAATACACTGTCCACCACAGCGTTTCCCGTTTGTATCGTGCCCTGATGTTTGATCAGCCATTTCGACAGGACCTAAAACAAGTCACATAAATATGAAAACGTTTATGCGTATAAATAACGAAAATCAATATAATTGAGCACGCACTCGTATCCCCGAAGGTGTATACTAACCAGAGGGAAGAACATGGACAAGCCCAGGATGAACAAGTTTCTCGAGGAATTGAGATTTACATACTGTAACGCCGACAGGCCTGAAAAGAAGAATTACGACTAAGAATTAGGATTAAAAATAATAAAATAATAAAAATATAATATAATAAAGGAAGAAAAAAAACAGTAATTTTAATAAAAACAATTTTCTAATTATTTATATAAGTACTATGAATAAATTCAGCATATCTTTTTCAGAGAGCTGTCTATATAGTCTTACAAACGCTCATAAAAGCGCACTTTCTTCTTACTACGAGACTGATATTTATAACCGAACTATTTCGCGATCGAGAACACATCGTAGAACAAACTTACGCTTACCGAAAGCACAAATCATCCCAAACATCACGCAGAATATTCCGCCGACTATCGGCTCAGGAATTATGATGAACACCGCGCCGAATTTGCTGATCACGCCCTGCAGGATCATCAGGAAGCAGGCCCACTGTATGACCCTACGGCTGCCGACTTTGGTGACCCCTAAAATTGTTACGTTCCATTAGAAGTTAGACGATGCCGTCTACATCATTAAATTAGTATTAAGCTCGCGATTAAAGGATATATAATTGTCCGTTACCTATCGTGCCTACGTTTTCGCCGAACGTGTTCGTGCCATTGCCGCTACCCCAAAGTCCGGCCAGCATCGTACCCAGACCTTCGATACCGATACCACGGTTGATCGCGTGAACCGGCGGCGGCGGTGCTCCTAGAAATTTTTCAGTAAATTACAAGCTGCATCGTCGTTAATAAAAAATGTTATAATTTAATAAGCCTCATCCTGTCTATGTTGCGTTTATTAATAACGGAAGACTCTAAAAGAAAAATTTATAGTTTTAAAATAAATATACCTACCACACATTCTCGCGGTGGTCGGATAGTAGCTGATGGATTCTACCGTGCATGCTAATACTCCGGCTAGCATACCGAGTACGCCTGATAACGTTACGGTGGGTACGCCCCACTGTCCAGGATATGGTACCCGAAACCAAGGGGAGTCGTTTATAATTCTTAACTTGCTGTCTGATCTGGCGGGATGGCCGAACGGTAGCGTGTCGGTTACCGTTAATATTGCGCAGATTATCCACATGACGATTATCGTCAGCAAAACCTGATGCAACGAGTAACTTCGGTTTAGATATACATGAGTAAATATTGATAACATTTGTACGTGAATTTTTCATTCTGAAGCGATGCTCTACGGTCCCGTAAGCAAACATAGAACTTTTTTTTAATATATCTCTAAATAAAAAAAGTCTAAATAAAAATGTTCAAAGCAGAAATTTAAGAATTATTATTTGTTTGTAGTTTTGTACCACGGTAACTCACGGTAACTTATCATATGCCCGTATCACACTACGGATTGAGATTGAGATTGGATTGGAATTTAATCAATCATAATAAAGAAAACTAAACTCAAATTAGTGAACTTTGCTCTATTTGGTCGAATTTCAATCCAATCTCAATCCTAATCTGTATAGTCTAGCTGACACTTTACGAGATTCAGGATCTTTCTTTGATAATACTTACCGGAAAGAGTTTGAACAATTCGAACCAGATAATGTGGAGTCCGTGGCCTTTCCGATACATTACAAATGGAAATGGAACGTTGACCAGTATTTGAGAGCATGTCGTCAGTAGTATTATCGTTCTAGAAACGCAAGCGTATATTAAGTCCAAAATATCATGTGTACATATTTGTATGTATGTCATTTATACAATATAATACAATACATACCCAGCCGCAATACCCCAATGCTGAGACGCGGCGTCCGCTGCGTTTTCGAAAAGAGACAGTCCAACTAGCGAGACCGTCGGCACGATTGTCAGCGGAGTTATAAATTTCAGCAAATATCCGACGATACCTGCGCGCAGATGCATTTTTAGCGTCTCGGGATATAAAATAAGAAAGAAGTGAAGAGAACAAAACTGCAGGAATTGCGCGACAGGTTCGGTAATTATAAGCCGGGATTTACGCGATTGAAATACCTCCAAACCCGATGATCACTTGGAACAAAGCGGAAACAGCGATGGCACCCGACAATTCTCTCATCCGGATTTGCCAGAGCTCGGTTCGGTTTTCGTGAGACATTTCCTCGAGAATCTCTGGCCTGGGGCACTCCCACTGCGGCAGATTTAATATTGCCAGAGTCGGCACCAAGAACGATATGGTACCACCTTGTACCAATGGCAATCTAATGCAAACATACGTTTCTTCGCGATTAAAATTTGCCATCAATATTTCTACGAGCACCAAGATATTCATTTTTGTTATGTTTGCAAATATAGTTTAATGTTTTATTAGAGTATTAGAAATATTTCTCAGCGCGCACGTACAAGATGCCTAAAAAACTCTTTAGTAAGAATCTTTGATCAATGCAAAATTGATTTTTTTTAAGTCAATATCGAGTTATTATTTATTATATAATTATTCAATTATTAGAATTTATTTTTAAATATTTATTTAAACCTAAAGATAAGAAATTTTATTTAAAAAGTAAACTCTATCTAAAATTAATGAGATATAATTTTGTTATCTTGTTTAACTTACAACTTAAAGACATAATATTTTAATTTTTTTTAAGATATTTTTTATAGAGATGTGTATCACAATAAACATTAGTATGGACGATATTAATCGCGGTTATTTATGTGTATCAAACTAATGAATTAAAAAACAGATACAAGATAATTATTGTATGCAATAATAAATTGTACATAATATTCCATCTTATTATTGCAGAACATATTTACCCTCACCTACATCCTACGGTAGTCTGAATGAGCGTCACTATGCCAGTGACAAAGATCATCGTGGAAATAACGTGACTCCTCGCGGGATCATCTTCGGCCATGCAGAGGGCCGGCGTTAGAATGAAAGGAATAGAAACGATTGCGCCGATCATAGTCAAGTAATGCTGCAAATGCATTTTATTTTGTATATACTTATATTAATAAAAAAATACGTTCGCGTTAAATTCAAAAAATTAAACATCAGATTAGGGCACATATTATGAAACTTTTCGGAATGGATTCCAATCGGAATTGTTTAGTTATTTCCTAGATTTCTATTGTGTTTTCTAGGGAAAACGGAATAATTCCGATCGGAATCCATTCCGGAATCCATTCCGAAAAGTTCCATAACAAATACGTGCCTAAAGTTATTTAACTATGACAAGCTGGCATTGCACCTCTCCTTTTTTCACTCGTTCAATAAATTTACTTGCCTATTCCATGATGTTACAAGTTAAACAACTCTGCGTTAGATCGTGTATATGTGTGTGTATATATGTCTGTGTGCGTGTACGTATTATCAAAAATATCATGTAAATAAAATTGACGTGTGTTAATGACGATGTTTCCTTCCATAAGATTTATTGTACAGCACAATGAGACATAATATACTGCAACATACGTTTATTTAACGCTCGCGTTAACGCATCCCCGTTCTTATTCTTATCTCCCAAATAAATACCTAGCAATAAAAGCGTAAGCTTATTCGTACGAGATATACGTCTGCTTCACACTTTCAAAACTTTTAGAACAATTATTATTTCCATTCCTTTCTTTTGGAATAGTGAGTTGGAATAGCTCCACTTTTACTCACACGAGATAGATAATATGTATATTTGAAATAATTCGGTTTACTAATTGAAACGAAGAATAAGAAAATAAGGCAAAAAGCGTACACATATAATATGCAATTACGAAACCTGCAATGCCATGAATAAACACAGATACCACGGCGGAACGTCGTCGATGCCATAGGTAATCTCAGGATTTCTATTCGTATCGTCCGCTGTTTCCTTCGGTATCGGAACAGCCGTCGAGTTGTCTGTGTTCTGAAAGATCAAAGAATAACCTCATAAAAAAATAATATATATTTATATTTACACGATTAAAAATGCTACGAAAATGAATGTCAAATAAAAAATATATAAGAAAATCGTTAAAATGTAAATATTAATATTACGAAACTTTATCGAAAAATAACTTTGAAGCATTTCCTGTGTTGATCATTTATAGCAAGTATATACTTAAGATATCCAGAATTATGTGTTAAAATTTAATTGTATATAGATAGTATAATAGATACCGCATAAGAGTATTATAATAAACAAATATGATACTTGTCAGGAAACACTTTGCAAAATCATAAATACTGATTTTAATAAAGCTTTGCATGAGAATGAGGTAAATAGGTAAATTTAAAAATTATTGCTGCTTTTAAGGGGTAAAAGTACCCCTTGTATTAGGTAAATTTAGTGAATATCGGTTAATATATCAAATGATATGTTATCCATATACATGTTTGATATAAATACGTGATACTACTATTATATCAAATACTGTATGTGCTTGATATAATATACGTCCTTAATCAAGAAGTATAGCGCATGGCATATATTATGCCATATGTAAAGCGTTTACGGTTGCTTATATGCGCAAAAGTCTAGTGTCACGCGTCATTCGTGCATAGCCGTTTATTATTTATCACTCCTCCTAATGCCTAAAGTTCAATATCTTTGAAAGCGTCACAAATATGACAGACTTTACATAAATAGACGTTTCAATGTCATATGTCAGGATAATGAAATTCTAAAAAGGCAGGAACTACTTATTGTCTAATGTTCAATTTAATGTAAAGTCGCATATTTCCTGCGTTTATGTTTCAATAAGTTTTCCTGCATGGAAACTCATCGAACATTTTACTCATCTTCCTTCGGATATTAATATTTAAAGCATTCCCGTGCGTGCACGTGTTCGCCGTGAATTGTGAAAACACATCGTAACTCACTCACAGATCACTCATAAATCGATTCAATTTGAGTTTTCCTACTTTTATGTTTGTTGTACTGAATCTCATCAAACGCGTATTACTCATCTTCAATATTTAATTTAAACCATGCACAGCTTCGTTGCGATTGTGGCAAACATATCATAACTCCTTCAAAGATCAATCATAGGCCATATGGAATACATTCCTATTCATTTGAATTCACAATGTCTATAATTCACAACGTCTAATAATTCTTAATGCGAAAAAAAATAATTTCCATCTAAAGAAGCAATTATCATTTTAATCATTTTAATCCTGAAAAACGCACATGGCTTGATTTCTAAAATATTGTTATAGCATCAAGTTCCTTCTCTTCGGAAGTATTATGTTTTCTTGTAGATATACATTACTTACATATCCATAAATATTTATCCCTTTTCCTATTTTGGTCTTTCTAAAAGCTGACTTGTTAAGCAAAAGTTCGTTCTGTAGTAATAAATTGCAACCAAGCATTTACATATGTATCGTGTGAATTATAATATCGTATCTATTATATGCGAACACATGGTAATTTATTCTTAAATAAGAATATCGAAGAAATTTAACTATTAAGAAAAATCGAAAGAAACAATTTAATAGCTTAAATTTAATTTAAAATAGTTTAAACTTTTATTTTTTTATATGAAATTATTAAATTATTTAAATGTATTTAAATTATTTTGTGTGCTTATAGCCAAATAAAAAGATATATTTTTTAAGAAGCGCGGGCAAGAACTGAGATTAATATAATATAATATAACTAATAATAATAATTTTGATTAATTTAACTTTGATGCTGCAAAAAAATACTTGACACTTTTTTCATATTTAGAGATAATTATAAGGATTATTAGGCATCAGCGACAAAATTCTATTTCTTTCTATTCTTGAATATTGTTTTACTATGCACATATACACACAAATATTGCACAAATTCTAAAAATTATAAGTCTAAATGAAGTCATTTATAAGAGAAAACCTCATCTTTAAGGCATATGCACGTGTCTTGGACGTGCACATTTTCTAGATCTTTTTTTCGATAATTTGCATTACATAAACTGCATAATGATAATTGATAATAATCTATCTCTTGTATCAGCAAATTCGCTATTTCCATAATATGTGCTGACCGACAGCAATTAACATTAATGGAATAAGATCGATGCAAAAAGATGCAAGAGTTGTTGAATTACGTAATGTTGCATCTTTTTTCTTTTTCCGAGCAGTCACGCTTGAGTGAAAATTTCAATCGCGTTTGCTTCCAGGAAGCAAAACTTATATCGGTAATCATTAACTTTATGACCCTCCATACGAAATCGCGTTAATCGTGACTATATAATTAACGTCAGCCAAAACAAAATCAAGTCTCGAATACGACAGCCAATTTTATTCTACAATTGAGTCGCGGTATATACTGAGCATAAATAATAATAGATAATGTAACTTTAGTACTTTATTTCAATTTATTATTAATTTGAACTCAAATTATACACGAATTAGATTACTTTTATGAAGAAGACGTCAATAACAACATTCGTGATGCAATAAGTAAGGTTTCTTTTTTTTTTATTAAGAGTGTTCGGGATAAGAACTAAACTTATCACCGTGTCTCCAACTGGTTAGGTTGGAACTGGTTGTTCCAGCATTTTGACAAAAATCTTCGATGCAAATAAAGTATAAAACAAAGGGGTTACAGGCTCTTATCGATAGGCTGCGTTTTGATATTCACTGTCAGTACTGAAAATCTATCATTTACATCACGTATACGATTTTCAGTACTGGCAGTGAATATCGAAACGCAGTCATAAGTAAAACTTAGTCATAAGTAAAAAAAAATGAAAGCTGACCATTTTTTGTTGCAACACCGACTTGTGACAACTTTATACGACAACCGGCAACGCACATGCACGATATCCGACTCCAACATATGACATATTATAGAACGAACCGAAAAGATCTTATGGACTACTTTTACACGTCATCATTAATCGGGGGTTTAGTAACATCTGTAGTTAACTTCTTAAAACGCATTTACACAGAGAGAAATTTATTTATTTTATATCTCCATTCAAAGAAATCTTAAAATCTTGATCTTGTCAAAGAAATACATATGCTACATGCTGTAGCAGATATACTTTTCATTGTTTTATCTCAATTTAGTAGCAATGCAATCATAACAACTTGTTTAACGTTTTACACGTTTCTTTAAAACGGATTTGTAAGTCTTCGTCAACGGATGTAGAGTAATAATTGGTGTTATAAATCTGTTATTTAACTAGCGTTTATACGATATTTTATGCCAGTAGTTATAATTATTAATGTTATTGAATCCTATTAATAGTGTAAATGTACTCAGATAGCAAAACGCCTGTCATATATATATTTACAAAATAATATAGGTGTGGAAACTCATGACGAGCGTTTGCGCAAATAACATATGTGAAGCTGCATTCAATCTAATGCTCCGCAACAATATTGAATTTGTTTCAAGCAAATAATGAAGTTGTTTCGGTTTGTTTAATATTCGTTACATTTTTGCAGTAATATTACGTCCTCGCTAGGATAATATATGAGCCTACGAGGCTCATATATTATTGATATATAATATATTTACATATTATTGATGGGTATCAACAATTTATACATTTCTGTTGCAAAAATACTATAAATGTCAATCCTGAAACAGAATTATGATTCATGTTCACGCAATATTTGTAGCAAAAATATACATAAACTGTTTCCAACAATGATTTACACATGATTTTGCACATTTATGTTTTGCTATCTGGGGTAGTCATATAGTATATCGTTCTATTCTCTGTCTGCACACTCGTCTCAGACAGAGTATACCTACATAATTCTCGTCTAATATTATTATTGTGACGCTCATACCGAGTAAACAAAGCTCAAAGCCAGATGATCGCATTCTGATAAATGTGCTAAACGCCTGGCGACTCGCCTGGCGATAATATAAGCAAAAGGAACTTTCCGTGACAGTTATGTTAACAGGTTTAATAGGAAAGATTCTATCTTGCTTGAGACATTATAACTTTTAATCCAAGCTCGCCGTAGAAATAATGCAATCGCGTTTAAGATTGCGAAATGTATCGAGACAAGTGCTCGATACGTATCGACACAAATAGATCACGATGAAAATTTATTCTGCAGTTTCTTTTAAACGCTGACGCTTGACGATAATATATATATGATATATATGATATTTAACAATATCTGCGCCATTTATTAGCAATATTTTTTAAATATTTTATTATAGATATATATTATATATTATAAACATATTATTTGTTTAGTTATCAACATATTATTCGACAATATTTTAATTGTTTTGAGCATATTATTCTTTAATGTCAGATTATCTAGCCATTTCGGAATTCATTTTTTTTAACAATGACAGAGAAATGCGCAACTTTTAATTATTATTTATTCATTAGCAATCATCAATATTACGTCAATCAACATATAATTTTAAGTCCTCGAAATTTATTCAAATAAGTCTTCATTAATTTAAAAAAATCATGCAAAAAATTATCTTTTTTTTAATATCGAGCTCTAAAGTAAAACTCTATTAAAATGTCATTAGAATCAATTTGTCAATATATATAATTAAGCAAGTTATTACATTCTTTTGAATCTTGATTTACAAAGAAATCAAGGAAGAAATGTAATTTATTCTCTAATCGTTTATAAGTGAAAAGAACTTCCGCGTAAATATCTTTATTAGTTTATCAAATACAATTTCACATCAAGGAACGAAGAAGTATTGATACTGCGAATAAAAATTCAACACTCGTCAACTTCTTCTCGTTACTCACCACTTCGGACATTGGCATCCCGTTGTCTAGCATTTTAACAGAAAACACAATACAATATATAAACTATAAACTCGATTGACAATTCCGCCCGAAAAAAATTTCGCGAGAATTCGTCGTCAAGGGATAAAGCGCACGTTTGAGCAAACGCACACGCGATCTTCTGCGACGATCGCTCAAATATATAAAATATATCAAACTATAATGTGTCCGCACGCGGTTTCCTCTTAAATAGATTGCCTTGCTACTATCCGCTGTCTATGTGTGCCTCTATCTACCGCCTTTATTAAACGACTGTTTAAAAGCAACGCGTCCTCCGTGACTCTTATCGCCCCCTCCGACCAAAGCGCGAGAAGTCACCGCAATGGATAATGCAATTGTGACCGTTTAACGACGAGAGTTGGTTAGCACTTCAGAGAAAATGAGAGGGAAGTCTTGAGACTTCGAGGGCTACGTGGGGATAGCAAGGCGAAAAGAATTACATTTCAGATTGCCAGATAGTGCGAGACCGCGAGACCAGCAAATCTCTTCTTATTCTTCTCTCAAAGTGGATGCCTATCCGAAAACACGTGGTATTACTAAGAATAAATTAATAAAACACATGATATCTCATTTTTTTCGGTCGCGCCTTCTTTGCGGTGGCCACATCTAAAATTTAATTAGCGTATACTTATATCAAAAACTGCAAGACAACAAACAATCAGCGGCGCGTCTGTTGTTTGTAAATTGTTTCCAAATTCCTTTTTTTATTATTTTTTATTAAAGTACGATTATATAATTTTGAGTTCTCGAAATTTATTCAAATCGGTCTTCATTAATTTAAATTAATCATGCAAAAAATTATCTTTCGTTTTTTTTCAATGTTATATCAACATTTAATCTCGAAGCAATCTTTTGCATGCCAGCTGCACATAAATCTTGTAAATTTTACAGATTGTCTTACGTAACACTGTATTATTAAACTCTACGTAATTCATAATGATAGATATTGTCGATTCTATCGCTGATTAAAAAATAAATGTTCATCTCAGAAACTCATTTTGGCGAGAATAAATATAAAATCAGAATATAATTAGGACAGATTTTTGGGAATTTACTTAATTTTTTCCGTACACGTAAAGTTATAAAATTTATTTGGCAATTACTTGTTTCTAACTAAACATATGTAATAAAATAAAATGCTTAACGAATTCACATTATGATAATAACGTATAAAATACAGGAAAATTGTATAAAATAAGTATATTCATTCAATGGCGCGAGTTAGCTTTATTTGCGCAAAATTATTAATGATATGGATATAATTTGATAATATTTATAATAAAGTTTAAATGCTTGAATATATAAATAAATGTAAAATTTTTAACGTCTCAAGAATGAAAAATTATCTTTGATAAAGCTACCGCTGAAAATAGATCATTGCAATTGCTAATACTAAAAAGTATCCTGCGTAGCAACTGCTATACGAGTGCAAGCGTTATCGTCAACGTCAATTACATCAACAGAGGTAATTTCAACTATTACTAAATTCCGATTAACTTTATCACTTATTGTCAATACTCACATTTCGGTTGACATAGTTAGAATTATCAGTTTTTTGTTGTTTGAATGGAAGAAAATGATTAGATTAGAGAAAACGAATAGGTAATATTTGGAAGTGATTGTTCTGTGAGTTTAAATCAATCGTCGATCAAATTAAAAAATACACTTTTCTTTTTTTTCTTTCTATTTAGAGATGTATTACATGAAGTCGAAAATATATCTTCGATGGTTCTTTCCGTAGATTACTCATTATTAGATGATACGTTAAACATAGTTTACATTGTATATCACATATATATATTGTTATCACAAGTTTAATATAAATATTGTATTACATCTTTCATATGTGCTATGAATCAGCAATTATTATATAAAGAAATATACAGAATATAAAATTTGTAACTTACAATAATTAACTTATATAATTAAGCTACTTTAATAACTTACAAGTTATACTTTAAACCAACATTTTAACATCTAAAAAATCTATTAGATTGACAATCTTATAGAAATTCGTGACTGTTAAAATTTGTATAATTGTATAATACTTTGTAATATAAATACTAAATCTTGTGATTTATTAATTATTCTATTTTTTTATGGATATGTACATACATGTCACTTATATGTATACAATGTAAACTATATATTTAACGTGTCATCAATAATGAGTAATCTACGGAGAGGACCATCGATGAAGATTTATATTTCATCATAAATATCTGAAATTTATATATTTTATATTACTTTCAGTGCTACTGCTTATTATTTAGCTTCGGTACGATTTTTAGAATGTCAGAAAAAATTTACAATAATTTCAAAAATTTATAATCTTTGATTAATCCATGCGAGTGACAATTATAGAAAAAAATGTAGTTTTGTGGCAATATTTATATTATATATGATATTACCTGCAGTGTAAATATGCATTCTTAGCCCTCCAATAAAAATTTAAAAGGGCAAGCACTACGTGAGGTGTAAATTATCATGATATATATACCCTATATTATTTATGCTATAAATATTAAAATCAATTAATATTTTTTGTTTTCTGTTTAATATTATTCATACAAACAAGCTGCTGTGGGGTGTAAAATATATCCCACGCGCCTAACTAGAGGGTTATTATTGTTGTTAATAAAATATATGTACAATAATAGTTAAATCACGAATTCAATATTGCGTTAAAAATTATTCAGATATATTTATGCTAATAATCGAAAAACTTATCTATAGTCGATAATAATATCAATATTCTTCAATTATCTGCGGGCTCACGGAATCACAAACGTTTTCCAACAAGCGACACAAGTCGCCGCAAACCGCCGCAAACGTCGTTCTATCTCTCTTTTTTGGCATTTTCAACGAATAAACAAAGACAGAACGACACTTACATCGAATCGTGTCGCTTGTTGGAAAACGCACTGTATGAGAGCGGTAGCCAATCAACTGCGCGCCTTTTCGGAACTAGTAATGCGTTGCGAGAGATGATTGGCTACCGCGTCGCTCCTCGGCGTCGCACTCTCGCGTGCAAAAAGCATAATATAACGCAGCTACGAAAAAAAGAACGAACCTATTATTTGTTCGTTGTGATCTCCATTCTCCATCATTGCCCATCATCGCCCCAGCTGTGGCGAGTGGCGAGCAAATGTCCGCCGTTATGGTTAAGTCCTATTTGTAAACGGTAAACTTGTTACCCCCTCACGGCCCACCGTTTGATGCTGAAAGCCGTTGTTCGCGGAACGATCAGGCCGTCTGTGAAATTCGCGATACTCGTTGAGTTTTCCTAGCGATATTCGAGCATCCAGACGCACTCGTGTCGTGTTTACGCAATGGAATACGACGAGCCTTCGGACGTCGAGATGGTGCCTATCGAGGAAATAGAGATGGCCAGGGCAACTTTAAAGCCAGAATCACAGGTAACAAGAACGAGCGATATATTGTGACATATTGCGATACTTAATTCGATACATATTGTTGTTAATATTGTAAGACGTGCTTCTCAAGTTACGCTCCTTACACTAATCTCTTTAGATACAGACATCGGACAGCAACCCTGAAAGGTCCGCGGACACATTCACAACGGGCATCGATATATTCAGCAAGGAGGAAAGATTGAAGATGGAGGAGCGAGCGAAGCGTTTCGGGTTGACGGAAAAATCCAAGGAATCAAATCTAGAAGAGGATCTGTACAGCAGGTATAAGATACTTAAATTGATTCGCTAAATTGATTTGATAAGAACGATAGTTGCGACTTTATATTGTGACGGTTGTAGCATGGATATCGTGGACGATGGCGAAAACGCGAAGAACATCAGGTTGAACGTAATACACATGAGAGGGACTGAGGATATGAGCACCAAAGATGTATTCACATATTTTCAAGATTATGCTCCAACGTCGATCGAATGGATCAACGACGTGTCATGTATGCTTCAAAGCTTGATTTTATTCGATGAAATGATTATTTATCATCATTTGCTGCTGACGTTTTGATATACAATATGTGATGTTACAGGCAATGTTGTCTGGTTCGACAAAGTAACGGCAGCCAGAGCTATGTTGGGATTGTCCAAAAAAATTGTAGGTAGCATTGCAAAATATTCAGATCGAGAGAACAATGACTCCGAGAACAGGAAAGACGACGTAGCGATGGCAGATGAGGAAAATGAGTCGATCGAGGCAGATAAAAATGGAAAGGACGATAATTGCATAAACATTAAAGATATCGATTATCCGCTACCTCCTGGTGTATGGAGGAAAGGTGTTGATTATCCAAAATCTAAAGGAATCTTCTTGAGATTCGCCACCAGAGCGGATAAGAAGCCGATTAATGCGGAAAAGAGAAGCGAATATTACAAAAAGTACGGAAATCCCAACTTTGGAGGTAAACGCAATTTTGTACATACCGAAATCAAATCAGGATTAAAACTAACGAGGACAGACGATAAGGTAATTTTCTATGTAAAATGTTTAGGTGTCAAAGGAATTCTAACGGAATCTCGTAAGCGCATGTACAAGCAGACGAAGCAAAATAAACGCAGATTATCGATCGAGGACAAAGATCAAGATCAGACAAAAAATCCATGGGGCGCGTTGTCCGAGACGTGGGGCTTGAACGATGTCGTGGAGGATGATTTTCTTCCAAAGAATGGTGTTAAGGACGTTAAGGACGTCAAGGATCAAGGACGTAGCATAAAGGAAAGATTGGGTCTCAAATATCCGGAAAAGGATACGACGCAAGTGGAGGAATCGGGTGAGGCCAGTTCCAGTAGCGATAGCGACGAGAATTGGTATAAACGAAGTAAAATTCCCCGCATGCGAATGCACGCCGATGACGAGGAGGAAAAGGTACAGAAGCGTCGGGCGAAGCTTCGATTCCAAGTTAGTTTTTTTATCTTTTTTTACTCCAATGGTTTATTTTTTTATCTCGTTTCGCGAATTATATCCAAGATGTTATCTTTTTCCCCCTTAGATGATTCTGAATAACTTGAATAAGAGCGGTGACTTGCGATCAAAGTTGGGAAGGCCGAAAACGAAAACGCAGTACCGCGAGCCCATTCAAGTAGTGGTCACAAATACGAACGCAACAAATTCGAAACGCGATAACTCTGGGATAATTCGGCAGCAGAGCCATCAGATTGTGAAAGAGGTACAATCGTCGGAAAGAGAAGAGGGAGAATGGCAAGAATCAGAAGACGAGGATGTTCATGAAGAAGAAGACAATGAGGAACAGAGACATGGCCAGCGTGGTCTGATGAACGCGGAGGAAGAGCGAGAGGAAGGAGAAGAGGAGGAAGAAGGTGAACACAAGGAGGATGAAGAAGATAGTAGCGAAGAGGACAGCGACGTGCCTGCTAAGGAGATTCAGGGTCCTAAGGGAAGTGTGATAAAGGTAGTCCCGCCCAAGCCACGCATTGCTTCCACTGTATGGGCGAGACTAAATAATACGAAAAACGAGACTAGTGACAGCTATTTGAAAAAGAGGTAAGAAAATAATTTAACTGATCTCGTCTACTGAAAATATCAAATAGCATAATTTCTCACAATCGCGTATTTTTTACATAAATTTTTCATACAGATTTTGACAGATTTTTAATATTAAATATTAATTAATTAAATATTAAATATTAATATTTTCCAATTAAATATTCTTAATCTCGTAATTTTGTCAATATAAGAACATACGTGATATTTCGTGATATAAATTGTGTAATATATAGTTTTTGTTTTTAATACATACTTTTTAGTTTCTTCGAAAAAATGTGCTTTTTTTTTAAGTATATATATGTAACTTATTATTATATGATTAATTATTAATTTATGTATACATCTGCAAGCTCACGAGTTGTATTTTTTAAAGGCCGTCAGGCAGCCGCGACTTGAGGAGTACCTTAAAGGGCGGTGATCTGCGATCGCGTATCGGAAATCATACCAGAGGACGTTCTCCATTGAGAATAGAAGTGAAAAACGATAAATACACAAGAGACGATAGTGACGGAGAGTGATCCCTATACGAACGAACTAATTGTTCAAAAGCTCGAAACTTGTAAAAAAAGTGCGCTCATTATTCAGATGTCTTGAAACTTTTTCATAATATTTTATATCGACTACGGTGGAATAGTTGTAAATTATATGTGGGTATATATATATATATATATATATATTCAACAAGTTTACATAATTTACGAACCTAAGTTTTTCTATTTTTATCATTGAAAAGATTGCGATTATTTTTACGTACACTGCCCGTCAACGATTCCTGAGATAAGGGAAGAACATAGAAGCAGTCTGTGCGTTCCCTTTTACATCAGGAAAGGGATCGTTAACGGGCAGTGTACACGCATGTATTATGAGAAAAATATTAGCGTGTAAAAAAAACTTTTGTTTCATATTATACCGTTAATGACCGATCTTCCAATAATAATCATTATTGTTTTTATCGTTAGACAGATCATGAACACTTCCGATAATATCGCATGTAAATTTAACAGAGATCGCGTATCTATAAACTGATGTATATTTCTGCAGACGGAAAAGGAAGCGGGCAACTAAGTACTTTGACCGAGATATTTGTGCAATTAGGGAAAAAGAATTTCGAAGAGATCTTTCTTATGTTACTTCGAAGTTGCGATGTAAAACATGTACTTTTTGCACGAAGAATATCAGATGAAAGTATAGTTTCGTAAGGTCTCGGAAGAGCATCACATATGTTTCAGAATAACGAATTGAGATATTTTGTAAAGACTACTCTGATGATTCAGGATAATACTCGATGTTATTGCGAAAAAAAAAGGAAAGAGATTAGTGACGAAATAAATAAACAATAATCTGTATGCCCCATGTTACATTCACCATTTCTCTAATACATTCTCTTATCGTCGAATTTTCCAGTCGACAAATTCTGCCGGCGCGATCCAATGAATTGTAACCTGCGCGAAAAGCGTAACGAAATTTTATTTTGTTACCTTTCAATGTGACGTAACCAAAAGCGAAACTAACGAAAAGTGTTGCTTCGTAATTTAAAAATTTACAGGGACGAATAACATGATGAAGACAGCGAGTAATTGGCCAATAGAGCCTGTTTTTTTATATTAGCACAATAATAGTTGGAATAGCTATTTAAAATACAATAGTCGATAATGATAATTTAATTAACATGAATAATGACGACTCGTCATGGATAACAATCATTTTTGGAAACAGCAATCGAGGTAATAAAGAAATCAGGTAAAGAACACAGTAAGTACATTTATTTCTCAAATAGCTGCTTAGCTACATTCATAGGTTTCTCAGATTTATAAACCTTCCCCGTTCAATAATATATTTTCAAAAATACAATTTGCGTCCAAGTGATTTGTGCTCGACAGTAAATTTCAAAATAATCCATTTACCACTTTTGCGGCTGTTTAGTCTTACGCCGCATTCTTTGACAGCAGGACTTGTACGATTATACTCCGTATTTGTCGAATAAGCGACGCATTGAAAATTTATATTCAAATTTTATCATCCGCATATCATTCGATTGTTCTTTTCGCCTGCGTGATAATTTATACATCAGAAAAAAATTGCGTTTATGATGAGCAGTGTTAAAATCTATCAAATATCTGCCTTAATTTTGATTTTCTGATTACTTCGTTTATTATACTTCACACTTGCGAGCATCGCTCTACTTTTAATGAAATTTTCCCGAAAATTGCTGTGCAAATTTATAGCTGAGAGGCAAATCCGATTAACGCGATCGATCCTCCAACGCAACAGAGAATAATTCACCGTGATTAAAAGCATTACAGTTTTAACGCTATGATTTGTTTAAATTACGTCTGTTATATTTAAACGGGCTTTAAAGTCGTTTTAAACGCTATGAATGCAGCTTCGGCGACAAAAAACTATCAATGATTCACAGCGACACAATTGAAACGGACAAGATGGATATCTTTCACGATATTGCCATTAGAATCAGACGATCGACGCGATCGCGCAAGATCAGAGCCTTGGAACGATAGGGAACCGAGAGACAGAAACAATCTCGAGGGACGAAATGCTGGCCTTTTGTTTAATTGAAAAAGCTAAGAGCGCCACTCAATCGAATTACAGCTCTATAAATTTTTGCGTCCCAAGTTGCTTCGAAGCCGGCGCCGATTGCGATGGCACAAATACGTCCTCCCGCGATGGAATCCTTCCCGCACATATCTTACATACCGTTTGCTGCGCACGGATGAAAAACGCCGATCTTGCCCGTCGTTAAAGAGGCGGTCGTGCGGCCCTTTCTCTCTCGAAAGGTTTTTCCTTCTCTTTCTCTCTCTCTCTCTCTCTCCTTCACTTCTACTTTACGTAAAAACGCTAATGATTTAGTCAACCACTCGTTAACTCGTAGACTAACAACTGTCGTTCTACTTGTCGAGGAAACGGCACGTAATCCACCACCTCTCGTCCCGCTGCCTCTTTTCTACTCTTTTTTTTTACAAGTCTCAATGATACGGTCGTCGAAATAACATCGAAAATCGACGGACGAGATGTTCCGCGTGAATGTCCGGATATATAAGAATCGGCAACAACAACAAGTACACATACATAACTTTAAGTATATTAGGCCAGATATCGACATTCGACAAATGTGTCATCGATATATTACGCGCAACGTTCTACGTTCGCACAAGTTCAGCATTTTCCTCAAATATTACTTTTCACCGCACTTGTATCACAATCTATATGTATTACGGATCCAATTATTATCGACAGCGAGAGTTTCGATTTCTCGTCGGCTTACAATTTCGCTGAGCGCACGATTTCATCGTCGCTTCCCCACGATCTAAAATATATAAGAACTGTTTAAAAGGCCTCGAATATGAGAGCATTCTTCAAAGGGACCGTCCGTTGATATAACACGCGTCTTATTTAACCCTGCAGAAGTGACAACGTCATAGAAGACTATCTTCGGAGCCAGCGCGGTTAATTAAACATTTTTACAGAGAGAAAGTAGCTTAATATGTATTAAATTTTGACATATTATCGCTGGTATAACGATTCTCTGTCGAAACGAATTCAGGCTCCATTCGATGCTAAAAATACTTTGAAGCGTTCTTCTTCTCCTTCTTTCTTTATTGAAAGAAAGAAAAAGAGGAATGCCTCCAAGCATTTTTAGTGTTAAATAGACCATAGCTTAAGTCCGTAAAGAGAATCACTCACCATATATTATTAGTGTAAGGTTTTTGAGAAATCTCTGTTGCAAAATTCATTGTGGCAATTCAATTTAAATTTTTAATTCAGCCGCGGGAAGAGAATCGTGTAAGAAATAGAAGCACAATACATATATCATGTCGGAAGTGGTTTTTTTGTACTCGCACATGGAATATATTCGTATAATAACAAAGACAACGATCCATCCATGGATCGCAGGAAGAAAGATATACACTTGTTTTTGTTAAAACTAAAAGCATTCGAATCTGTCATTTCTGGAATCATTTAGCACGGCCTTGTCTGAATCTGATCTTAGAATCTGTCGTTACAAAAAGTCATTCTCATCATTATAAACTGGAAATTTTCATTTTGGAAGAGATTACGCCTGCGCATATGTCGTGAAATAATTGAACTGCTTGCCGCCTACGTAATTTGTGCGCGTTTTGTAATCAAGGCTTGTAGCGCGCCTAGAAAACTGTAAACCGCGAGAGATTCCCTAACTCTTTTGCCCACGACAATGTGCCCAAACGAATGCGCGCAACGGATAAACATTGAAGGAAGATAAGTATGTATTAAATCGATGAAGATTTAAATCATGATATTATGATAACGACAGAATATTATTCGCTGTTATGTTCCCTCGCGAAAGAGGCGAGGAGCATCAACGCGAATCACCCTCACGAGAATCCGTAATTACTTTACTAGAAATGCATCTTAAATCTAGATAAGAATCTTACGAACAACGAATTTTTCTTTAATTATTAATTTATTATATGTATCGAAGAACGTGAAGGTCGATAACAGTTAATAGAGGAAGTAAATACTTTGTCCCTGTTTTAGTATCCTTTTTGTTTTCTTTCACCTTTTTTTTTTTAATTTTTGCTTCGTCTCTCACAACCTAGTTTGTTTGGGTAAAGGATTGAGAAAATTCTCTCTATATATTCACAGTAAGGCCGAATGGAGCTATCGATATCCAGTTAACGAATTCGATTTCTAGCGATTCAAATTGACTTTATCGTAGATAGATTTTGGATTGCGATATCGATTTCGGAAGGCTCTAAGAGCGATAAGGTTTATACGATGTATAACATTTGTAAAATCTCCGAAATACTAACTTGGGGACCTTCTTCTACATGTTATTCAAATTGTCACTTTAAAACTCTTACGACTCGGGCACCCCATCGTTACTATCACACGCTCAGAAAGAAGATCACGATTCTCTTTTTCAACATAAATTATATACTATTATTCTCGTGGCTCGCGCCGATCAGGGCGCTTGCACGTCGCGTATTCGCTATAACGGTTGACTATCGTGAAACGGATTAAATACCAAAAGAAATTTGTACGTGCCACACACGTACGTACATACGCACGCACACACAGTCATACGTACACACACAAGACGAAAAATATCATACGAAAGAGTTACACGAATGCGCTACAAGCGTCCGAATCTCGTACGAGTGAACATTTAGTGTACCTCAATATCTCCGATATCTATGATATTTTCGATATCGTAAAATAACCGAGATACGATAAGCCGAATTTATATTGCCCTGATTACGCCGTACAATTACACATAACGTTGTAATCTCAACCGTTTCACTTTTGGGAGGTGAAAGAAATAATTCGACAGATGACGACGAAATAAAGACAAAGTACGTCGCGTGTTACGCCTCGTCACGCTCGCAATTAAATCACAGACAGACAGTATGGTACGGTACGACAATAATAAATTAAAGATACATGTTGTACCAATTGATATTATGCTATGTTCGGTATAACATAAGAAATACTATATATTTTCTTTCTCCAAGTAAGGACATGCGAATGTACAAGCGTATGCGCGGACATTGCGACTGTTTCACTCACCCGACTAATCGGCACGATTAATCGTTCGTTGATCGCTGAACTAAATCTCTCATCAATATCCTAGTATCTTTGTATCATCGATAATTCGAGTGGCGATGAAGTGGCGATGATTAAGCACGCTTTCTTCATACCAATCCCGCTATTGTTCGTTTTCGGTTCCGTTCTATTCTTTTTCAATTTATCACGCGTATCCGCTATTGCGATTCTGGCAACGGCATGCCTGACAAAAAGGAAGGAAAGTAGTATTCAATTGTTAACGGGTCAAGAGACCGGCAATATGGCACAAAACGAATTTAACAATTACCAGTCGACTACATAGCATTCTCTTGATGATTTTTCTGAAACAGTAGAGTTTCTTCAAAAATATATTGTTTTAATACTTCTTTTGGAAGATCATCCAGCTCCATGTCAAATTTAAACGGCTCCTCTGCCACGGGCTGAAATTTACGAAAACAGATTGACATTCGTAATCGCAATCTTACAGCAAATACAAATTTACCTCATCGGCAGGATCGTAATATTGCTCCAAGTAGGGATGTGCCAACGCATCTTCCACTACAATGCGTTTATTGGGATTGAACGTTAACATTTTGTCTAAGAGATCCAACGCTCTCGGATCGGCATTGGGGAAGAGGCTTGTCCACGGTACCTTTGGTTTATACGGCAACGACTGAAGATAATTCCGTGCCTGAAATCAGAAATCAGACGCTTCAATACCACCGTGTTATAGATGCGAAGCGTGAGTCGACGAGTGTGCACCCTGCATTGCAAAATGCACGCATGT